ATGCAGAGGAAATGAGGAGTGCCTCAGACATCAGGAGTTAGAATACTGCAAAGCTTCTATTCAAGTTGCTCTTGGAAAATTTCAAAACATCAGAGCAATACTAAATGAGTACTGACACCTTTTGCTTTAGAAGTAGCACTTACTTTCCCTCACAGGTGGCACAATTAGATGTCAAATATGAATTAATATGTGGTCTGCAAAACACATCTCAACACTAGCTTGGCCATCAGCAAGTAGAGGGTCCCTGCTCTTCTATTTATTCTTCATGAAAACAACAGGACCCAGCTTGTCTGAATTTTCTAAAAACTCATGTACAGTAATTTAAAAATTATTTTTAGCCTTGCCCTAAAATCTGCTACAAATTGAGTCTTCATTTCAATCCTCAAATTATTTATCAGAGAGACAGGTATAATTTATAACAAACAAATTTTCATTTACTTTTATCTTCTTTACAACTTAGCATGAGAAAAAATTTCTTCTCAAAATCCCAAAAGCAAATGACACAAAGAGATAGGACAGTAACAAAACTCCTAAATCAATCTCTGGGGTTATTGCTGCCTAGCCATACCTGTCCACCTCTGGCCAGCATGCTGACCCATATAGTACTCGTTGGTCGAGAAGAATTTTCCAGACAAGATCTACACTCTCCTGTGTAGGCATATTTTGAATCTTTCTTTGCAAACACATACACTGTGTTTGTAGCCATTTTCTCCTGAGCAATCAGAACCTGTGTCAGAAACAAGAGCACCAATAAATGACTGACAAAACAGAATACTGAAAGTAACACTCACACTGTTTCTACTATTCCTTCAGGTGCCTCAACTTTTAAGAGCACTGCACAGCTGAAGTCAATTGGCCAAACTCTGTATTTTAAAAATATAGACTTAAAAAAAATATAAGCTAGTTAAGATGGAATAGCCCAAACAAAATGTAAGCTAGTTAAGGTGGAATAGACTCAGGGAACACTGTTGTCTTTTATTACTTACCACACATGCTGGCTATGCCAAGATATTTCACACAGTGATAAAGAAAGCATTTCACTATCTGTTTTTCCAAGGCCAATGCACTACACAGGCAAATTTAAATGCCAGCTCAACAATCAAAGCCAGAATTTGTTTTCCCCCAAGAAGAAATAAAAAATTATGATTATTTTGCTGTGTTTCCCCAGGTTATATGAGTTGGCAAAAACTGTCAGTTTCACTGGTGAGGCACTAACAGGGTGTAGATATGATTTTCTGAAGCTGCTTCCACAGCAATAGAGGCAAGAACCTTTTCTTAAAACGAAATGCATCTGTATAGCTGTGAACAAACTGGAGAACACTCAGAGTGAGGAACTGCCTCATTTCAGAATGCATGCTGCTCTGAAATACTGAAGAAGGAAATCAAAATATCCAGAACACTTACTGGCAAACAGTTCACAAAACCAAAGAAGGGAAGAAATGAAGATGGCAAATGTGCCTCAAAGAAGAAAAAGTGGCTTGAGAAAGCCTTAACAGATGACTAAAAGCCCATCTTTCTGCAAGATCAGGAGCTCCCACAGTATCTCTGGTACACTGGAATAAGAATGTTTATGCTCCTGGCAAAACATATGGGAACAAGTAACAGAACTGCCAGTGTCTTCAAAGATGGCTGTGTAAGGTATATCCCTTACCTTTTCTGATCCATTAATGATGAAGTAGCCACCAGGATCAAGTGGGCACTCGTTCAGCTCACAAAGATCACGGTCAGTTAAACCATTCAGCAAACAGTACGTGGAACGCAACATGATAGGAATTTTTCCTATAAAGGTTTTCTGATGCTGGGTCTGCAATTGGTCCTCCCCTTCTTTAATAACTGTTTTAGTTATATCCACATACAAGGGGGCAGAATACCTACAGAATAAAAACACCACTGTGTCACCTGTCAGTTACTACCTTTCTGTACAACCCTGAGTATGAAGGCAGTTATTCAAGCACTCACTGGTGTATTAAGCATTATTACCAAATCACCAATCACCATCTGCATTTAGCAACTAGACATGGAAGTTTAAATAAAGCAGCAATTATTACATTTTTAAGGCACTACTATATTGCAAAAGGTTATTAATTAATAAGGCAGAAGCAGTTCTTCCTTGTGTTTATCCACCACAGAGTTGGCTCTTACGTAAGGTTTCTCAGTCTGGCTTCATTTGGCATCATAGGTGAGGGTGCTCCATCTCTTTCCCAGTGTGTAGGTTTGGAGAGATAGATTTGTTCAAACTTCAACAGATACCGGGGCTGGAAAACAAGAATATATTTACTTGTAATGGAAGAAACATCTCTCCTATTAGCAACCAGAACTGTACAGCCACTACCAATAAACGAAAACACAGCAAGCTGGGTAGCACCAGTTCCTAGGAAGATTCTATAAGACAAGTAAACAAAGTAAGACTTGAGGTTTTTGGAAAACTATCTGGTTCTTAAAATGCACAAAAGCTTCCTATAACAGGAGGTGGCACACCCTTGTTGCAAATGTTTTATAGGTAAAAAAATCCTCAATCCTTATGTGAAGAAACACCTTTTCCTGGATTTGCAGCAACAGCCACATATAGTACCATTTCCCAAGTTCTCATGAAAGCTATCTTAAGGAGAATACCATCATTCTTATCTCTGAGCATGGTTGCTAAACCCTCTCATGTGCTCTAAACTGCCTTCAAAATTTGAGACTGAGAAGCAGAGGGAGACAGAAACAAAAAAAATCAAGTTTTCCCAATACACACAGTTTCCTTAAATTAGTCCAGCATCTTCAAATGTGGTGAGAGATTGCCTGCAAGTGACTGAGGAAAAAGCAGGTTTTCTTTTTCTCATCTCTAAACCTATTCCTAAAAACTTGCAAATAATAAATGAGAATAAGACACTATTTGAGAAAGTAAATTAATAGCTTTTGGGCAAAAAGAAGCCCAGCACAAACCATGCTTGTGATTTCAACAGAGACCAAGCACAGCACAAACGTCAGCTGCAGAACTGCACAAATAGAGAATTCTGCCATAATATACAGAGAATAACAGAGGAAATATTAAGAATTAGTGAGCTAAATGTTTATGAACCATTTGTCTAGCAAAGAAACCAAAAGACATCTCACTTATTCTCTACAGGATAGTTGTTTGCTGGCAAAAAATGCCAAGGGACAGGAAAACCATGTAACAAATTCAATGCTCTGGTGTCCTAGAGTTCCTTTAAATCCCTATAGGGAAGCATCAAGGTAGTGACTGACAGCAAGGCAATGGCTCATCACCATCTGCACTTATGGAACAGGGATCAGACTACACCAGGGACACAGGTGAAAGCACCAGAGCCACTGCAGAAGGTGCACACTCGGTGTAGAGGAGCACACTCATCACGGGGTGCAGAATAGAGACAATCTGTCCTCTTCAGAACATAGTTCCAAGGGAAGAACATGAACAACAGCACCCTTTGAAAACTGGGACCTAACTTGAGTCAAAGCTAAGAGAGAAGTTTTCAGCCATAAGCCTTGCCACGGTAAAGCTGCTTAAAACCAAAATCTCACCAAAACACAGCTTGCTCTTGGCTACCTGACCTGCGCTAGTAAACCTCTGTCCATGCAGTTTTGCAGAGGAACTGACAATATGAGCTGCAGCAGCCACTTGTTCTCGGTCATTTCTCAACTCAAACAGCAGGACAGGAGTTGAACAGAACTGATGTCAAATGATTTTGAATTGTAAAAACACATAATCTCTGCCAAGGTTCTTTACTTACTGGCTCTTCCACTTCTCCTGAGGCATGCTGGGCTTCTGCTTGTAAATCAATTGGTGGAGCATCTTCAACAATTCTCTGCACAGACATCTGAATAAACTCATCAAATGAATCCAACTGTTGCCTGACTAAACCCTTTTCATCAAAATAGGAGCTAAAAAAAAAAGGCAGGTTAATAAGAAATCTTAACTAATATGCTTCACATATCAACAAACTTAAAACATATTTATAACCAAAACTCCACAAGCCATGAAATATGCTTGTGGAAAAATGATATAGTACAGAATCAACCATGTTTATTTAACCCAAGGCATTCAAACACAGATGCTCCTCATGAATGTTTAATAATTCCCTCCCTGCCTGAAGACACAGACATGTACGAGTGACAAACTTGCTGCCACCTCTTGGCTAAGCCACGACAGCATACACAGTGAGTGCCTCAAATTTCCCTTAAATTGGAAGAGAAACGTGATGACAAACCTCACTGAAAGGGCTCCAGGTCAAGTTTTCAATAATACCTGTAAATTACTTTGATTTAACTAATTTTCCTAGCTGCAGTAAACTAGTAGGACGCCCCCAAGTCCAAGTAATAGTACTCAGAACTTTTAGCTTGGATCCCCTCCGTTCCAGCCACACAGATCCTGGATGCTCACATTTTGCTAGAAAAAATGGTGAAAATGCCCAAGTACTGATTTCCTAATACCAGCAACAACAGTGAGACTAATGGGCAAAACCACGTGCTTGATATGGAACAAAAACCACCCCATTCTTCACTGGAAAACGCGTGTGCTGGGGGTCAGCAGAACTTCTCAATCCCAGCCGACAGCCCTTTGTTTCTACCAAAAGCCCTCCTGCTCTGAAGGTGCTGCAACACACAGTTTAGCGTAAGCAAACCGCAGCTCCCAGGCGTGTTCCCGGGAGCCAGCTGGATGTCACCTGCAGACCGAGAGCACAGCATTTGAGGGGTAAGGACAGAGTTCTAGCAGGTCACCTAATAACAATCCAGCAGGCTTCTTGCCACAGGTCGGGCGTGATCTCATCATCGTCCTCATCATATTGCATATCTGCGGGGAAGCACAACGCGTGAGTCGGGCTCCGACCGCCGCCGTGTCCCCCCCCGGCCTGGCTCGGGGAGAGGCACTACATCCCCCATCTCCGGGCTCCCGCGGGCACCGGCGCCATCCCTGGCAGGGCTGGGCGGGAGGGAAAGGAGAGGAGAAGGAAAAGGGAAACCCCTCACCTTCGTCCGCGTCGTACATGGCGGCGGCGGGAGCGGCGGGAGCGGCGGGAGCGGCGGAGCGAGGGGCGCGCGGGGCGGGCGAGAGCGCGGAGCGGCGCGGGCCGGCGGTGGTGGGACGGCGGCGGCGCGACCCGTGACGTCACGCTCGCGTCTCCCGCGAGGCGCCGCGCGCCCCGCGACGTCAGGCGGCCCCGCCATGCTCCGCCTGGGCCTCGCGCTGCTGTTCCGCCTTCCTCGCCTGGCCCCGCTCCGCGCCCCGCTGCGGCCGTGCGGGGCGGCGGCGGCGGGCCACGGCACGGAGCAGGAGCGCTTCGTCTTCCTCGAGTATGAGCCGGACCCGGCTGAGAGGGCGCCGCGCCGGGAGCGGGAGGTGAAGCCGCGGCGGGAGCGGCGGGCGCGGGGCGCGGCGGCAGTGGCAGCGGCGATGACGAGCCTGTCGGACCCGTCGGTGCCGCCGAGCGGCGTGAGCTGCTCGGGCTGCGGGGCCGAGCTGCAGTGCGGGGACAGCGGCGCGCCGGGCTTCGTGCCGGCCGAGCGGTACCGCAGCCTGCTGTGCGAGGGCCCCGCGGCGCTGCGCGGCGCCGTGTGCCGGCGGTGCTGGGCGCTGGCGCACGGCGGCGGCGCCCCGGGGCTTCGGCTGCCGCCCGCCGAGCACCGCCGCGTGCTGAGCGACGCCCTGCGCCGCCCGCCGCGCCACGGCCGCGGGCCGCTGCTGCTCTACGTGCTCGACGTGACGGAGCTGCCCGACCCCGTGCTGCCGCAGCTGCCGGCGCTGCTGAGCCCCGACGTGCCCGCCGCCGGCGTGCTGGTGGTGGGCAACAAGGTGGACCTGCTGCCCGCAGACCGCCGCGGGCACCTGGGGCGGCTGCGGCAGCGGGTGGCGGCGGCCTGCGCCCGGGCCGGGCTGCGGGGAGCCGCGCTGGTGGACATCCGCCTGGTCAGCGCCAAGACCGGCTACGGCTTGGAGGGGCTGGTCAGCCGGCTGCAGCGCTCCTGGAAGTGCGCCGGCGATGTCTACCTGCTGGGCGCCACCAACTCGGGCAAGTCCACGCTCTTCAACACCCTGCTGCGCTCCGACTACTGCAAGTCCCGCGCCCCCGACATCATCGACAGGGCCACTGTGTCCCCGTGGCCAGGTCAGGGCACCGCTCGGCCCTTTATAGCCCGGGTAATGGGAGATGTGGGGTGTGCAGAAAACAGTGAGATGTGTGCCTCCGGGCTGCTCTCGGCCACCCCTGCATTAGGAGAACCTGTCACCAAAGCAATACATGCCACCCTAAGCACCTCCATGGTGGGCAGCAAGCTCCAGAAGTGTGCTATCTTCACATTATTACCTGGGAGGAGTGGCTGAAGTGTTTAACCCAGAGTAAATGAGGTCTGGGAGACTATATCTACCTAAAGGAAGTTGTAGCCAGGTGGGAGTCAGTCTCTTCTCCAAGGTAGCCAGTGACAGAAAGAGGACATAGCCTTAAGATGCACTAGGGCAGCTTTAGCTCGGGCATTAGCAGGAATTTCTTCACCAAAAAGGTGATTAGACATTAGAATGGATTGCCAAGGGAGATGATGGAGTCTCTGTGCCGAATGTGGCACTCAGTGCCATGGTCTAGTCAATGTGGTGATGATGTCAGAGATCTTTTCCAGCCTACTTGATGCTGTGATTCCTCACAGGGGGCAGTAGGAGTGGGATGCGTGTGCTGAGGGTACTGCACATCCTGTAGTACTGAGGCTTGTTAAACCAGAGTGGGTCTGTGTGCACCCCTGCCATTTAGGATGGCACCTGATGTGCATGCCTTGCTCTGTCCCTATCCATTAACGGTGTCCTCCAGTCTGGAGAGGCCGGGAGGTGGAGTGGTGAGCACCTGTAGTCCAAACCAAGTTGTCTGGAGTTGAGACTTTTCTGGGGTATACTAAGGCTTTGAGACCCTTTTATTCAAACTGTAGATGAGAACAGCTCTGAAGCAGGTGAATGGCTTGTTTTTGCTTCCCCCAGTTGGGAGGCTGGTACTTTATGGGAGCAGCTGTAGTTCCACTTCTGACTTTGTGTTACTGGGTTTCACCAAAAAGTTAAAGAAGCCGTTTTTTTGTAATCTTGTTCCTCAGATCTGGAATGTGTGAAATAGTCAGAGATCCAAAAGTGCCTTCTGTTTGTTTTTCCAGGAACAACACTGAACCTGTTGAAATTTCCAATTATTAACCCTACGTGTGACAGGATATTCCGAAGGCAGGAGAGGCTAAAAGAAGAGGCAGCAAAAACAGAAGATCAGCTAAGCAGTGAAGAAAAAAAGTACCTTAATCAACTTAAAAAGCAAGGTTACCTAGTGGGTGAGTAGAGGTGTTACCTTTCTGCTTCTAATGGAAACACTGCATTACACAAGGGTTAAGTTACTTTGACCAGTGTTTGCTCCCAGATTAATGGGGGCAAGACCTCTATCTCCTCTACAAGCAGCATCATTAGTACTTTTGAATACTTGTCAGCTGCTGTAGTAGCAGAGCATTCCTCTGCAATGCATCTCCTCTCTGAAGGAGGCTGGCAAATTCTGATAGCTTAGTAGTTTGCAAGGATATCATATTGCAGGTATGGGCCATCTCTTGTTCCCAAATAAAGAAAATAAGTTTAATTTTAAATAATCACATCTGAACTGCAGGCTACAGGGGTTGTACATCATTTTAGTATGTATTCAAAAGAAGGGGTTGCCAGAAGACAGTTCTGGTTTTCAGATAATTCTGTGTTTGGCAGTCTGAGGCATTGAAAATAGAAGGCAGCCTGCTTTACCATAAATTGGAAATAACTAAGTGTCTGTGATCTGGTCCTTGCTGAGATTTTGGGGCATGAGGAGTGCTAAGCAAGAATTAGAGAAGGGATTCCTTATCATTTTGGCTTTTGAACACACAAATTTCTAGCCACACAGTGGCTTCATCACCTTTATACTACTGATGTGCATTTCTTTTAAGCCATGAAAGGGGCAGATGTTTGATTGAAGGAAAGCAAGCTAATAAGTAGATTAACAGGAAAACCTTTCATTTTAATCCAGGAAGAGTTGGAAGAACATTTAAACAGCAGAAGTCTAGCGCTGAGATTGACTTCGACCCTGACAAGCTCTCTTACAGCTTGGATGAAGATCCTAGAGACGAAGATCCTAGAGAGCCCCCTAAGAGGTTTGAGGAGAGGGAGGAGTTCACTCACAATGAAGTGAAGGATGCTCGGTGGTGTTTTGACACTCCAGGAATTGTAAAGGAAGACTGTGTATGTACTCTGTGTTGCTGTGTTTTGGGGTGACAGGGTTTGGGAGGACTGTTCTGCCTTATCTGCGTCTGTGGGAGAGTGCTTCTGCCATAGTCTTGGCATTAGGATTCTCTTTGCCTGGGAATTGTATTAAGATAAGGTTTGTATGTACTGGAGAGGGGTTCATGTGGTAATGCTGTTGCATTTCTGAGTAGTGCAATACTGCCAGCTTTACAAAGGAGCTGCAGGACTGCATCACCAAGCTTCCACAACCTCTGAACCAAGGGAAGTAAGCAAGAATGCTCTTAGCAAGTTCACACCAGTATCACCCAATGGAGCTGACACTTCTTCAGTTCTCCCAACCTACAGAAGAAGGTGGAGCTTAGGGGGATAACCAGAGTTGTATGACCACCCCATCTTAGAGAAAGCATTCTCCTGAATTTAGGAGGTTCTGCAGTGTTGCTGCTACTGGCTTCAGTATGTCAGGCATTTGTCAGTAGAGCAATGCCCTGCTGTCAGCCAGTGCTGACAAATTGCACATGTCTAAAACAGGCACGTTTTTGCTTTAAGTCTTTTAGTACCCATGCACAGCTGCAGGTCATCTTTTTGGGAAGATTAAACAGTACAGGCAGACAGGAAGGTTCTGAAGAGAATGAAGTGCAAAAGCAGTGCTGAGACTTTATAGCTTGAGTGCTGTTGCTGTTTTCATGAACACTAGAAGACTTCTGGTTTTCTAATGATGTATTTGTCTGACCATAACCTGCTTTACTAACCTGCACTCTGGTCTCTGTAAAGACTGGCATCATCTTAGAGACCTGGATTAGTATATTGAGATTGTCTGTGTCCTTCCCTTCTGATGGAGTTGGATACTTGTGGAAAATACTTCCTGCATCCAGAAATAGTTGCTTCTGATTCTGATTATCCTCACACTCTCTTTTGGAGAGCTCCATGCCAAGTTTCAGATCAAATTTTGTTCCTGCAGTTAACGATCAGTCTGAGTGGAGGACAAGCAGATTGTGGCAGATTTTGGCAGGGGAGATTCTTCCTGCTTCTCGCTTACTGCGTAGACCAGAATTGAAACTGTTGTGTCAGATGTTCTTGACATTGCTTTGATTGGTCTTTTTCTTCTATCAATATAATGCCAGTACTAATGCCATTGTTCCCACTGAAACATCTGGAATGAGTTATGACAATTTATTTTGCAGGTTTTGAATCTCCTAACAGAGAAGGAAGTAAAACTGGTTTTGCCATCACATGCCATTGTTCCACGGACCTTTATTCTCAAGCCAGGAATGGTCTTGTTTTTAGCAGCCTTGGGACGTATAGACTACTTAGAGGTAAAGGAAGAAAGGATTTCAGGAGCAGTTGTGCTCAGATCATGACAGAAGCTCCTGCCTCAGCCTAGACCTTTGAACCTGGAGGAATTCCTGCCCGTATTTCTGTCTGCTAGCACTGTTTGGAGAGATCTCTCCCCTCTCTGACCTTCTTCTCTCTTCCTGCAAATATGATGAGAGTGCCTGCTGAAACTGCTTCACTGACTTTACATAGCTTGAGAGCAGCTGGAACCTAGTACTGTTGAATGAGCACAGCGTGTTACAAGTGTAGGGTGATAGGAGAAGTACCTACCAGATGTCCATCACCTCTTGCATTGAATAAGCACACTGAGTTTGTTCTTGTGAATTAAATGAGAGCAAAGATGTCTCTTGGATGATTTACCTGAGCTGAGAAGCTGTGCTGGCCATAAATATGGCATTGGGGGTGCTTTGAGGCAGGATGGTGAAGCTGTGGGTCTTCTCTTCTGGAAGCTCAAATCCCAATTTTATATAAACCATGGCTTCTGTCATTGGCAGAGGCAAGGATTTCTCAAACAGGGAAGGGGCATCAAGCAGGGCAGATTTTCAATATGCAGGAAGGAAATGGGGCAGGAGGGAGCAATTCAGGGCTGCTTTTCTCTTAACATAGTTAAGATTCTTTTGGTATTTATTTCAGGGAGAAAAGCCTGCCTGGTTTTCTGTCTTGGCTTCTAACCTGTTGCCAGTCCATGTTACTACACTGGGTAATGCAGACACTGTCTATGAGAAGCATGCAGCCCAAGAATTCCTAAAGGTAAGGGGTTGTTCTGGGGGGAGCTTGTGGCTGCAGGTAGGCAGGACACCTGTCTGGGGTACAACTGACAGGGAACATCCACAGGTATCAAGAGTTTGGGACTTGTGCAGTGGGTGAGTGGAGATGGGCCATGTGGAGCAGTCTTGCACAGACTGTGGCTGAAGTGTGTTAGGAGAGAGCACTCAAGATGACGCATTTTCAGCAGAATTTCTGCTTCTAGCATTCAGGCTGATAAGATTTGTAGTGCTCTGCTTAGTCATACTTGGCTCTTCTTGAAGAGCCTTAAAGTGCAGGCAGCAACAGGGATATTTTCCGTTGCAAACCTGCAGACTGGGGTTTCAGAACAGATTGCAGCTGAAAAATTTACTTTTTTTATTCTTTCCCTGCTGGATCTTCTGCACATATCTTCATCTCTTGGTGGTCTGACTTTTTCCTTGGTGTGGCAATATTCTGTGTAGTACTTGCAGATTGATGGGAGATGGGGTGAGGTGTCCCTGTCTTGGTATTTCCATTCCTGTGCACATGGGAGGGCATGTGCTGTTACTCACATCAAGGCAGCTGGCCTGATCGACCAGCTGCATCCTGCAGTGGGCTCTATCTACATCTTTGCTCACCTCCCACAGGGTTCCTCTGCATGTGATCCTGACTCTGTTCTGACAAACCTGAAATAACTCCTGGAGGTTATTCAGGCCAGCTCTTTGACTGGCTAACAAATGTTTAATGTCTTTATTCTTCCTTGTGCCTTGCTTGCCAGTTTGAGGTAGGACTGCTGAAGAATCTCTTGACTGTTAAATCATTTCTCTGTGTTTTAATCTTAGGTTCCCATGGGTGGGGAAGAGAGAATGAAAGAGTTCCCCCCACTTGTCCCTCAGGACATTACACTGAAAGGAATTGGTACTACTGAGGCAGTTGCAGATATCAAGCTTTCCTCTGCAGGTAATTTAATATTTCTTCATCAGCTTGCTTTGCAGGGTCTGCGTCCTAGAAACATTGATGGGAAGAGGTCTCTGAAGGGGTGAGGCTGTATTTCCTGCACAGAGCAGGACTGTCAACAACACAAAATCATAGCAGCCATGACTTTGTCCAGCTGAAGCGTGGCAGCCTCCAAGAATGGAGATTGACATCCATGCTTGTACAGGATGGCAACATTGGAATACTTTATGTTCTGGCTGCCATACAAATTCTATAGCATCAGGAATGGCTGTAACACTGTCAGCTGTTCAGGTGAGAGGGAAAAGGCCATTGATTGGATTCATTCTTCTGTTTTTGGTGCACACTGTCTGAGGGAGGTACACAGCATCCCTTACTGGGAAAGAGCTGTGTCTGAGAAGAGTGACATGGCTTTAGGTGCTGCCTTATGTTGGGAAAGGGCTGGATATGACCTTTCAGCTTGGTTTCTCAAGGAACCACGTGAGAGTAGCTCAGATTTTTAGCCAGCTGGGGAGGATGTAGTTTGTGTCAGAACCTTGTTTAGATCCTAGGGATTTGTCTCCTCACTGTCCGTATTCTCTGTGGCTGTGCAGGCTGGGTGGCAGTGACGGCTCACGCGGAAGAGGAATTGCTGCTCCGAGCCTACACTCCCAAAGGCACTGCGTTGGTGGTGCGGGAGCCTCCCCTTCTGCCTTACATCAGTGCCATCAGAGGGGCCCGGATCCCAGGTACTCCTGCCTACAGGACCAAAAAGCCTCCTTCCTTTGTGGAAAACCTAAGAACCACTGGAAGCAGATAGTGCTTCTCATCATCCGAGCAAGGCAGAAGACAGAACAGCCCCTGGAGAACCTGGTGATTTACTGGTATTCAGAAAATGTTGGACTCATTTTGAAAGGAAAGCAGGGCTAGGAGGGAGCTCCACAAGTCCACATTTGATCCAACTGCTGAACTCTAGCCATTATGAAGTGAGGGGCTGGGACCTTATTGTTTGAGGGTAAACAGCTTCTCCCTGGGATCTGCATCGATGGGCAGATCCCTTTACCTGTCCCCTCTTGAAATACAGGGTGGAACTCACCTGCCTGACCTGGTCTGACTGCTGCTTATAGACTAGGTGGTTTCTTGCAGGCATGCTCCCTCATGTCAAAAATCATCACCTTGTTTTTAAGGTGTTTCCTTAAACAGTTAAATAGTTAAAGGGGGTAGAGGGAGTTGGAAGGAGCAGGGAATGCTCCAGTGTGGCTGATACTGGTGCAACAACATCAACCAGAAGTTGTGTCCTTTCTCTCCTTCAGCATCGAGTGGATTAGGGTGGGCAGTATCCTGCTTTTGGACACAGGAAAAGTGATTTAATAAAAAGCAGGTCTGCTCATGTGCCTGAAGATGAAAGTTTTGCAATTCACTGCTTTGATTTGGTTTCTGTAGCTTGGGTACAGGTTTTTGAAACCAAGCATATAGAATCCAGGGAATGTGGTTCACATGTGTTCAGTCTGTGTCTAGACTAGAGTTCTTCCTGTACATTAGACAAAATATGTGCACTCTCACCTTGATTTCTCAGGAAAGCTTTTCTAGTTCTTTCTAGAAGAAAAAAAACTATGGCAGCATGTTCCTCACTGCTCAGGCTGTGACTCACACAGTGCTCCTGTTTTCCTCTGTTTCTCTGTTGTGAAAACCAGCACATGTGTGGCCACTCCTAGGGTGTGCTTGGCAAGCATCAGAGCACAGGCAGCAAGATCCAGAAAGTGTTTTTCCAGTAGGGGTATATAGGACTGTAGCTGTCTTCCTGGCTGGATTTCTTTGTGCTGTTGGCAGGCCTTATATTTGGCTGCAAAAATTACTGAAGGAGTTGCCAGCAAGACTGGTGTGAGGATTATCTGTTGCAGCTGTGCTAATCTTCACAGTGCTGTGCTTTTCAATTTCCCCTTCACAAAGGGAAAAAAACACCATCTTTTTGATGTTTAAGAACAAGATTCTAGAAGATTTTTTTTTGAGAGATTCTTTTTAAAATTACTTTAGTGATGATGGAAGAGAAAGTGCCACATTTTTCTCAATGGTTATAACACACACAGCAAACCAACCCCTGTACAAATTCTGCCCATTTTTTTTTGAGCATGCCATGGATTTATCAACTATTTTCCTTGACTTGCTCATAGCTAAATGGGAGAACCATGTTGCTTTGTGTATTTGTTCAAGACTGGGTATCTTGAACATTTTTAAGTTGGCAAGAGGCTAAACAACTAATTTATGTGTGTAGAAACAGCATGAACAACTCATGTTCAGTTTATGTCTTAAGCAAGAATACTGAGAAGAATGCAAAACAATACTGAGATAGGGACCTTTGCATCTTGAACAAATGCACCAGTCTAAACTTCTTCCTGGATGATTTACATCAGATGGTGGTGAGAGAGAAAGAGTATCAAGATCTGCCAGAGCTGCCAACTTTATATTACAACCCAAAAGCAGGTGAAGATATTGAAAGATACCAAAGCGACATTGGTATTCCTTTTCATCCTTGGCTGTATGACAGGTGTGTGGATGATGTACATCATGAGAAGGGGCTGGTAGACAGCACTTCCCCTGTGCATGTCAGGTGTGAAAAGCACTGTAGCTTTTGGAGGCAAAAGCCACTACAATGTTCTTGTGGGGGCGATGCAATTCTGCAGTTGCATGAATTCAGAGCTGTGCTTACAGGCCACAAAAAAATCCATCACTCCTGCCTGTCTAGCTTCCAGCTTAAAAGTAGCTTTGGTACAGATTTCCATAAAAACATCCATTGCTTAGCATAATAGTCATGGGCTGCAGAGGTGAATTCCCCTGGCTCTGCCGTTTTGCTTTGTAAAGTTCTCACACATTTGGTGGCTTTAGTTCTTTAGGAGCACTGCCTGGGGTGGTGTCACTCCATTCCCAATATGAAACACACTGTAATTTGCACATACTGTTCCTCAAACTTTAAAGAATAAAAGTTTGGATTTGTTTCCATCAGTGAAGTCTCAGGAAAAAGAAAGGTAAAAGGATGAAAAACTTCATACACTCAGAAAGTGAAGAAAAGGGAAAAAGCGGAGCAAATGGGAGAAAAACCTAAGTAGCAGAAACTGCCTAAAAGAGGACTGCATTTAGAGGCAAGGTTTAAACTTCGTGGTCTTATGTGCAAATCTCACCACAGGAACATATCTAAATTAGGGTCTGGACTTTGGGCTCCACAGAGCTTAAAACAGTTCTAAAATGGGGTACAATTGACAAGTGTTATGGTAACAGGGAAACATAAATAGCTACAGGTTGTCCTCACAAAACTGTCAGAAATCTGCCCACAGAGATCAAATATCATGTCTGTGTGATCTAATGTATGCTCCACAACCAAAACCACAGAAGAAAATGTACTACATTTGTTTTAAGGGTGCACCTGAACTCAGCAAGCAGTTCTTGAGGTCTGAAACAATACCTTTACACATTTACACATTTACACATTTACACATTTGCAAATTGAAAATAAAAATGTAACTACAAAATTACCCTGTGCATGGTAGACTGTACTGCATTTAGTCTGAAATGAATAAACAGGTATGTAGTCACAAGAATTTTGGAATTTTAAATTAAGCTATCTACAGTTATAAAAGATTTTATTTTACACCTCTAGAACATTTGATGTGGCTTTGGTTTATTTGTCTATAAGATGAGAAACCACTTCTACAGTACGTTCTGTATTTGCAAAACAAGCACATTTCATTTTAGAAAAACAGTGAAGTGAGGGAAGCCTGACATTTTTTTAAAAAGTCAAGGCAAGCAAAGTTAGAGGTTAGAAACAGATCCTTGATCTTCTAAATGTCAGATTTGCCAAGACTTTAATAAAATCCTGCAAATACAAAATATGTTGTAAACGCTAACAGCAGGACAAGAAAATAACAATATATCAAATACACATGCAAAGGTTCTGAAAATTTGCTGAACCTTTTGCAGTTATGACAAGCAGAGGAAATATGGGAAGAGAGAAAAGAAGAAAAAAATGTAAAAACATGGTATTCAACAGAGGGAGGTTAACCTCACTGACATGCTGTTCATACTTTGTTACTCTGCAAGGTGAGGGGACCCACATGCAGAGAACTTTGAGCATATTACTCATTTTTGTCCAAAGAGTAAAGAAAATCAAAGAAGTATAGGAAATTCCTTCCAATATATATAGGAAACATGTCACAGAGCATGCATGCATCTAAGTTTTTCAAATTAGTGCCTTAAAGGACATCTTTTTCTTGATGTGAAGTAACTGGGAAATGCAGTAAATATCTTTCACTAGAACCTTCCAGGCAATGAACTGACACAGGGATTCACTGGGCAAAATCCTGCAGATTTTAAGGTTAGAGATTTTTGGCTAAAACTGTAGTGGACAGGCCAATGCTTTTAAATTTGAGTGTCCAATCTTTATGAATCCAGCAAACATTTTGGAAACAATCATCTGACATCCATGTTCCAACACACTCACTTGTCGCTGGGCTTTGTGCACTCTGGGCTCCCTCCGTGGAACTCTAGGACTTGTGGTTACATCTGTGTAGTAGCTCCCTGGAATTCTTCTGTGATAATACATAATACAACCTTTTTAAAAGAGCCTGTGACACTTTGAAATGCTGTGGTAGTCAGTACTGCTGAGTATGGAAGTCATAAAAAGGAATGAGTGTGTTTCAGGATCGCTGGCATCTATATGGACAAGCACCTTGGAATGAGTGAGGGAAATGGCAGACTGCCACTTGGTTCATTGCTGGCAATGTTTGAGAAGCAGGAACTAGCCAATTAAGCCAGTTCACATTAAATTTCTTCAGGCTGCTCAATTTGTTGAAATATAATACAATACTGGTGGGATACATCCTGAGGATGAGCAACAGTGATGTCCAAACTTCACAGTAAGTAAAGCTGCTGTGGCAAAGAAGGGAATGAACTGTATGCTGTTTATGAAAAATTATGCAATTGACTCATTTAATATCTTACAGTAAATCAATAGGGGCTCTTGTGGGATGAAACCCTCAGCAAATTAACAATGTGTAGTGAGTGACCTTGACAAATGAAAACCCTGAGAGCTGGGCTTAAGAATACAGTCATTGAGAAAGCAGTGGGTATACTAATAAATGGCATTTATTAGCCTAACTCCACAAAGACTAATTCTCTCCCCATTCCTAAGCCTACAAAAAAAAAGGAAAACTAAAGACAAAGGGGGTCAGGAGGAGGCTGATGGCTGTCAGTGCCCTTTGAAAGAGGGACATGTAGAGGGGCATGCTTAAGAAAGACATCAGAACTACAGTAAGCCTAGAAATAACCAGAAATAAAATTGCTGATGTTTCCCAACAATGCAGGCCAAAACATGGTTCCTGTTTGAACCATTCAGAGGCTTGGTTAGGGTTATGATACTTGATTCTGAAAAGGCAGCCTTTCAGTCAAGTTTTGATTGAGGGGACTCTGTGGAATCACTGCAGAGTGCACTGCGCTTGTCTGGCTAATGGAGCATGAGAGAGGTGAAGCTGATGGTGGTCAAGGGAGCAACACACTACAAATTAAAGGAACTGGCTCAAGTGGAAATGAACCCCACTGAGAGTGAGCACAGAACTGTTGTACTCGAAATTATCCTTGTGTACAGATCATTTCACTGTAAAACTGAAGATCATTAAACATGCCTAATTCTTAGATAACTAAATTGAGGTTAAAGCTGTCATTTATGCCAAGCAAAGAGAAATTATAGCAAAACAACAAACAAACAAAACCTAAGCAAGCCCTTCATCATATTTTGGGCAGCCTCACTGAAATTCAAGGTCAACCAATGCACTAGGATGAAAATAACCGCATGTATAAATCCTTAGAATGCTACTTTTAAGGGAAAGTATGCATTAGGTTCAACTAGTTATGAAAAAAACATTTTGTTGCCTGTGACGGTAATTTTTGAAAATTAGATTATTTTAAGTGTTAACATGTTTATCTTGAACTACATTATGAACATACGTTGGTAAATGGATGCTTGCATTATTCTATTTCCAGTCTTGGTTAGGACTAATGTACATGACAAAATCTAAGTGTTAGGAAAGTGACATCGTTCAATTTTCTGCCAACAGGTCAGCTTTTGAAAAAGTGTAAGGAGTAATACATATGCTTCTGATATTCAACAATCTGTCAAAAAAGGTTTATGTTGTTTTGAGTTCTCCTGAAATTGCATCACATTAACATCAAACCTCAAAAACATTTCTTGTGCTGGTAAGAAGATGGAAACCTATATGGAAATGGATATAGGTTTAAAAGGAAGGAAACCCTTCTCTTTTATTGCTTTTAATCTTCTAACTTCAATTAAACTGATTTCTAAGAGAGATGCCAGAGGCTGCCTGAAAGAAATACATTTTCTGGTGACAACAGTGGTGACTGTATTTTATTAATATTTGTGATAGAGGGGATACTGGTTTGACTGGGGTTTATTTACTTGGGTGCATATAAAACCTTAAATGATAGACTGGATTATTAATTCTTTCTCTGTGTTTACACAATGAGTAGATGTAGTAGCATTCCTGCTGATACTACCACTGATTTTTATTTACTTTCCAGAGTATGATGCATGGTAAGGTTTTACAACACACAGTTCATTTGGGCCTTGCTTTACTTCTGCTTTTACCTAAACCCACTTTCACTTGAAAGCATCTAAGCATTGCATAATTACTGAGCAACGTGGCCCAAGGAATCTGTGGATTTTTGATTGTGCAACCTGCCACTAAATGTTACATCTTTACATCCCTGAGTTGTGGATCAGATGGGTTACATCTTCCTTAAGCAACCAGACATTTTCTATTCCTAGAATTCTAAAAATAAGACAGAACTATCTTGTTTGGATCTCTTTTTCTTCCTGGAGATTTACCACAGTAGAAAAAGAAGGACCTGCAGAATAATTCAGAATAATTCAGAATAATTTATGGCTACACAATACTGGATTCTTTGGGGCTTTTTCTACATCTTTTTGCAAATGGAACAGTGAGTTACAGGGAACACAGATACGATTAACTGGTTCTTCAGGCAGATTACCAGGGGAAATAGAGACAAAGGTAAATCAGACTGGGAAAAGTATTCTTCAAAAATATTCCACTGGGAAAGTTTCAAAAAGGGAAAACAAAAAGCCATTCACTGAGCATGCTGTGAAAGCTGAAATATTTGAAAACAACCTAATCAGACTGATCATATCACAGGTTTTTCACTAAAACTTTATGTGGTCAATATATGAGTAAAAGCATTCTGGATTCCCACCCATAACTGCACCTGAATATTTCTTTCTAACTCTTTCTGGAGTGGTATATACCTTTCTTTATGTTTGCTCTTGGGTTCCTGCAGCTTTCTTCTGCTAAATGTTGATGCAACTTAATTTTCCAAACATAAAATGACCTTCTGTACTTTCCAACTTGTCGGGAAAATGAATATTTTAATAGTACTGACAAATAACTGCAGGCCAAGTATTTCCAATGCTTTGCCTCTCAAACAGCCATAAAAATAAAAATAGCCAGTCACAGAAATGGCTGTAGACCTCCAAAAGTTTTCCCTTTCAGTGTTTTCACCTTCCTCTGAGTGGCTAATGACAGAGATGAAAACAGCAGCAGCAGGAAAAAAAAAAAAAAAAAAAAAAAAAAGAAAAAAAAAAAAAAAAGAAAAAAGAGAGAGAGAGAGATGGGCAGGACTCTCAGTATGGGTACAAAAGTGGGGTATTCTGAAATAAGACCAGGAACTGACATTTATGGTTCCTTGGTTCTCCATATTAAACATTAATGTATTCTGGATCAGTGGATAAATGAATGAAGAGGGAAGACAAAAGAATGAAGCATGGAAACAAGAATCACCCTGGCCAAGGTGATGACCAGTTAAATTGCTCCTCCTTTTGTACTTGCTCTTTCAGTGATTAGCTTTTGCTGTTAATTTAATCCAAGATGACACAGTGCTGCACATCAGCCTAGGTATCAGTCTGATCAAATGGCAGAATCCAAGGAGCACAAAGCATGACTGGCCCTCAGGTGCTCTAGGAATGCAAACAGTCCAGTTATGGCTCATGGGTGAGACATGGGATACATGAAAGGGATGTTCTACAGATCTTTTAGCACTAATTAAGCTATTGCATACTGGTCTGTGATGACAGTGAACACATTCTACAACACATTTCAAATGTCTGAGGTGACTGCAAAACCAAATATAATTCTAACATTTGCTTTTCAAATATTTGGTGCAAGTGAAGAACAAATCTATAATATCCATAGCGATGCCTTCTTATTAAATTCATTGAGTGTGGATATATTTTAGATCTGTAGGTATTTGCATAATGAGCATACTTGATAAATAATTACTAAGTTACAGTTAATTGTCCAATTAATTGTGAGAAAATCAATTTGAAGAGTTGAAATTGAGAAGTCTTAAAAGTTACAGTAAGAAGACATGAAGAGCAGATGAAAGGAAAAGGTAAATTCAATTAAAATGCCATCTGAGTCAACTTCCTAATTTTTAAGACAGTGAAGAGGGGTGGGCAGCTTCCGTCCTACTGCTGTGAGATACTTCTCTGCTACTGAGGTTTCTAACACCATTAGCTCTGATCCTCTGAACCTTTGCACAGTAGCTCTGTCTATTCCACAGAGACCATTAGTCTCGCTGAACTCAGCCTGCTTTCCCTGAGGGAGGTTTGCACACATAACAAACAGAGATGCTTGAAAGCTTCTCTGTTTAATAATACATTATTGCTTTCTATAAACTGGAGCATTTTCATTCATTTTTGCAGGCTAAAGATAGGGCTTACAGCAAATACAGCTAGATCATGAATACCTATGTGATGGTGCCTCTAGCACTGCCCTCAGCAGCGATGGCCCTTATTTGACACAGATCTGTCAGCAGCAAATTTCAGACCCAATTCTACCAAAAGCAAGAGCCTGGGCCAGTCTGACTGTACAGGACTGAGCAGCACATTAGCCACACCATGAGGAACAGAAAAGCTCATTTAAGGTTTGCTTTTTTAAAGAGGAGAGAATAAAGCCACTGCCTTACAACAGAAGAGCTGAAGAGCAGAGGGCAAATTGTCCTTTCCATGAACCAGCATTGCAGTCACTCGAGCATGACTAGACAGGAAAGGGGAAGGCAGCACCTTGGAAGAGTTTGGGAAATTTTGATGTTCACTTTCCTTAATCACTTTAAAGCACAACCTCTACTTTTCACGTGCTGCTTTCCAAGTCTCCCATGTCTTAGTCATGCCCCCATGCATCAGCAGATTTACTTTTCCAAGAGCACTTGAGGTGAGGAGAGAATATCTGCAGTTTTAATAATGAGCATTTTCAGATGTGTATATGTTTTTAGTGAGCAGAGTGCTCCTTTCCTTGCTTCCCCAAGTAATTTGGGATGCGTCTCCTGATAAATCACCTTTCATTTTTTGCCATTGTGTTCTGAGGAACTTTACTCTCACGCTTCCTTGGTAGCATAGGAGGTCTGCTAGTGTGCAATATGTTTTATTGATAACAAAGAGAATAGACCACCTGACTGTTTCACTATGCAGGTGTGACAGATAGTCCTCAATGGGTAAATGAGGGCTTCCTTTATGCTCCAGTGACTGTTTTTGCCAGGGAAGGTGGGCTGTGGGTGAGAACAGAAATACAGATAGAGATATCCCAGCTCAGCTGACCTTGAATAACTGTACTGAGTGTAAGTCTTCATAATCAGTGAAAAAGAGGCAATCTGGATGTGTCCTAATGCTTTTCATAGCGAGAATAAGCTGATTTATAAAGGTTTGTTTTGTTTGCTTTTAGAAAATTACCAACTGTCTTCCCAATTCAAACATCACTGTGTTGCTAATCACAAGTTACTGATGTTCCCCAACCAATCTTTCAGTTATTGCTCATATTGTTCTTGTTCCCTGGCATTTTCCTACTTTGTTATCTCAGATGTCTGCTTCAACACTAACCACACACTGTCTTACAGAGTTGCACTGTAACACAAATTTTTTCACCGAAGGAAGCAGGCAGTGTTGAGATGTGACTGGGATCAGGTGATACTGGGGGAAAAAATAGGGTAATATTTGATGCTCAGTTCCACCAGAATGGAAAGTGCCATGGCAATTAATAGGTGAGAGATATATATGAGGTAAAAGCAAAGCCAGGCTAGTCTGAAAAATATGCTTTAAGATGCTCTTGGTCTTCCAACCCACTGCACTTAGAAAACCACACCACCCACCCAGAAAACAGTGGGTTTGTACATACAATGTATTTGTGTGCTCAGAGATGAATCATCTAATATCATATTTATAAAGGTATTTAGGGACAGTTAATTTCTAGTGATTTTACTGAGTAGCTGCCTTGGTAGCTCTTGAAGTATGCTATTTTCTTGTATGTGCTCAAATTACCTGGATGTAAAACAAGCTCCCCAAAACAAAGTAGTAAAACATTTTTTCATAGTTATATGGCATTCAGGTTTGAGATGCTGAAGTGATGGAAGGGCTGTGGAATGCTCCAAAATCACCAAAAATGTTTCTTTATGTACCCCTAATCCTTGACCCCAGTCAGAGCCAAACTCATCAGCTCCAGCATGGCTGAAAGCAGTGCAAGGACGAGGATGGAGAATCTCCTGGTGTCACCACATCGGTGCAGAGGTCTTTCACCAGCCAGGCACTACCAGCGGGTCCCAGATGGCAGTGACATTTTCCCTTCTGGGCTCAATTGAGCTGCATTGGAATCAGGATCATCTCTCTGGCCAAGCCATGCTGCTCACCAGTTCTTCAGAAGGGTCATTCAAGGGCTGCTTTGTTCTGTGATGTGGGACATACACCTCACTGGGCTGTAATTAGGGTCCTTGCAGACTTAAGAAATGTCAGGCTTTTATACAAGCCTGTTACAAGAGCATCAGAGGCTTTTGAATTCATAGACATTTGCCCCTGTAGCCACGTGCCCAGCAACCCCATGCATTCAGCTCTTTCCCATCTCTTTTTACAGTGGCACGTGAATATTTGTCCCTGGTTATTTACGGATAAAAAGGTGGCATTTCAGGGGACACTCAGTCTCCTGTCTCTGAGGTGGAGAGTAATTTCGTTGCCGAGCTCTTTCTCTCTGTACCACTTGATGGCACACTTGTATAGTACACTGCAGGCTGAAGGCAAGAGAAATCCACATGCAAATCCCGTCCAAAGTTGTTCCACTTAATTTGTTCAGCATCATGAATGTACCTGTTTAATTGATTAAAGAAATTTAACACTGTAGTATTGAGTAGGAATAAGCAGGGCATACAAAATAATTACATCAAGAAAGCCCTGTATTTTGCAATTTTAATCCCAGAAGTTTGCCTGGATAATTCATTAGTTTTTCATTATTTCAGTAAGTTTGGTAAGAAACTTGCCTCTGTCCTGCTGAGCCTTTTC